GATAGAGACATCTATCGAGACAATTCCGTATGATCAAAAATGTATGTATAGGCACCAAAATGGATATTTAATTATTGTGATATAAAAGAAAGGAACGAACGACAGCAGCTTGTATTAAAGTGGTAAACGTATGAAACCTCCATCCCTGTTAAGAGGCTAATCGGTCGGAAGTGTCAATGGCGAGGATCGTTGGCCCTGAGAGCGCGCGTACCGGGTAGAGGAGGAAAAGAATGCAAACGCGAAGGAACAGAAAGGCGCCGACTCTAATTGATATAACCAGATAAGACCCTGAGGAACTCCAGAGCGAGACAGGGACGCGGCTTGAATTCGAAGCCCCCGACAGCAACGAAAAGGAGCGAGAGACGCTCGAGACGTCGAACGTAGGAACGAGGAGGAGCATTCCCGCGGAATTCTCCCTTTGTCCGCGCCGAAATTCCATCGGCAGCCGTAAAGAAAAGACGGGGCCGACCCGCGGACGAGCCTAGACTGTCAACCGGGCGTATTTTTTCTCCTTTTCTTTCGCGTCTGACGGATTCATTATGTAATTCGCGTAATGGGACCCCGCCGCGACCCTCTCCCTCTCAAGACGTCTTGGAATTCAATTGTTTCAAAGTCGTGGAAATTCCTCGACCGAGAGAAGGGGGAGAGAAAAGGGCGAAAGACTCCCCGCCGCGGCGTATCCCTCGATTCTCCACGGCCTCCTCCGGTAGCTCGAGTTCAAACCACCGCGAAAGATACCGGTTTAGGGTGGACTATGAACACCCACCCGGAGAAAATAATACTCGGCGAGCTTTCGAATTTTACTTGTTATACTTGTTCCCCTACTTTTTGAGGTCCTCGAAAACCGAAAATTGAATTCGAACAACCAAGTACTTACACGGTTGTTTATAGTCGGAACGAAATTAACTTTCAGAGCAAGGCCACCGAGAGACCCTCCCCCGCCAACGTTTCTTGCGAACGAAAAGAGACTATAAACTTCCGGGCGATCTCTATTCCCGCGCGAACGACACCCACGCGGGGTTGAAATTGCACGCGGTCGATCGCAAACAGATAAGGGCTCGAAAGAACGATGGGGGAGGCAGACGATGGTAGATTGCTTGATTCTCCGCGGCGAGAATTTCTTTGCGGATTAATATTTGCGCTGGCTGCGAGCGACGCTGCCCGTGGAAGACGTGGAATCCACGACGGGACGTAGGGCGAAACGGAGGGTGGAGCAAAACAAATAACGAACGTGGTCGGAGACAAATGGGGTGGATCTACCCCCGGACTAACCCGAGAAACACGACACCCCCGTAGAAACCGTTGGTATAGCTTGTTGAAAAAAAAAAAGAAATGCTTTCGCAGGTTTCACGGTAAACGTGGCCTTCCAGCGTGATGGTTCGCTTGGAAATACGAGCGTGGATTCGCCTGGATATTGGACGTGTCTGGGGGAAAACGCAGACATAACCGGAGGAGCGTAAACCGACTCTTGATTTACAAATTTTTTCGACCCTAATACGGGCTGCTATTCGAGTCGTTCGTTGAAGGTCTAAATCCTACCTGTGAACTCGTATTATCCCTTTAAACAGGACCTAAAATATGTATTTATTTAGTTAATAACGCTTAAGGGAGCACGAAATTACTCGAGCAAGGGAATATTTTAGCCAGAGGTATTTGCCCTCTGGAGTCGTAAATTTGTTATTAGTACGTTACTTTTAGCATAGAGCCAGCAGATGTTAAGATGTCCAGTTTCCTGCGGGCCATCTTATATTCCAAAAGTCTTGAATGTAAAATGAGTCAGATGTTTCTGGCGTCTTGGATTCCGACGACTCGAACCTGAAACATTTATTACCGTGAATCCAATATTTTTACTCCGGATCTCGCCACGATGAACGATATAACGACGCTGTTTGCCGTGGCGGTTCAAACAGAGCGAAAACGTTGATCGTAATTGCGGTTCGCGTATCTAATATCGAGAGTAATACATCGCTGGCCACCGGGGAAGAGAGTTAAGCTACTCTCTCAACGATAACGATCATAACGATTAAGTAAAAAGACTGGGGGGTGCTTTGCAATTAATGGAAATCGTTTTATTGAAAAGCTTATGCATGTTGGGAAATAGTATTTTACCCGATTCGTCGAAATCCTATTACAGAATTGCTCAAGAGCAATCGCAATCAATTAAAAGCTAACAAGACAGCCGATGAGCAGAGTTGAACGAAACGAATTGTCAATAATTTAGGAACGCGGTTGGTGTTCGAGCGGAGACCAATGGTCTCTTTAAGGGGCTAAACGAACAAAATCTTTCTCGATCGAAAATGGAGGAAACGATCGGGAAACGGTCGACGTATTTTCTCGGATGGCATTCTCGACGAGACGCTAAAAGAGGAAGTGGCGACGGAGAAATGGTCCAGCGAAAAAGGGATGACCCGAGGGATGAAATTGTCGAAAGGTCAAGGCACGGATGTCCGGAAAGAACCGAACGAGATTGAAGAACAAGGAAAAGATGGAACGAGCGAAACGGGGCGAATATCGAAGAAAGACAACGCGAATCGGAACCAACCTTTCTTTACGCTCTTTTGTTTCATCTTTGACGCAATCTCCCGCTCCTACCACCCTAAGGGCCGGTGTTACCAAACAACAGACCGATGCCCAGAGGAAAATGTCTCTCCACTTATATACACTAATGCACAATCGCGTGTACGTGAGCTTCGATACTTGGACAGCTTTGGAGATTCGAGAAGGAGGGTGAACATGAGCCTTTCCTTCTCTTATAGAGGATTCACACGATATTTATTAAAACCCACTCTTGAAGCTGCTGCTGGCTTCTGCTGGCCTCTGCTAACCTCTGCCAGCATCTGCGGGCTTCTGCCTGCCTCTGCTGGCCCCTGCTGACCACTGCGAACCGCTGCGGACCACTCCTGATATTTCTGACAACGTATAACCATTACTACTGGTTACTGCCAGCCCCTCCCAGCCTCTGCTGTCTTCTGCTGCTCTCTGCTGACCGCTGCTGGCCGCTGCTGATCACTGCTGACCACTGTTGACCACCCCCGATGCTTCCAACAACGTATGACGATTACTACTTGTTACTGCTCGCCCCTGCTGGCTCCTACCTACTCCTGATGGCCCCTGCTGACCCCTGCTGACCCCTGCCGACCTTTGTTGACAACTTCTGACATGCTGTATGTGTATTAAAACTTTGCATAATGTAAATTTATGGCAATAAATGATATAATTTCAAAGAATTCTATGTGTTCTCGTCATTTTTACCTTTCTTTTCCTCTCCAAATCATTGCCTTAGTTTTAAGAGACCGTTTTCCGGTTAAAATTGGATTCCCAAAGTGTCCAGCTCTCGTACTTGCTGGCAAAATCAAAAATTAACTTTTAAATTTTTTTTCTGTAACCGTCACTCTCGTACCTGTTGGCAAAATCGAGAATTCATTTTTTTCGTCAAAAAATTTTTGCTCGAAAATTTCGCCGATTTCCCAAAAAGTCCTGAAACAGCTGGCAACTCCTGAAACAGCTGGAAAGTCCTGAAACAACTGGGAAGTCCTGGAATTTCTTGGAAACTCTGAATTTTTAGCAAATTTCTGAGTTTCAGGACTTCCTAGTGGGTTCAGGGAAACCAAGGAGTTTCAGGGAGTCTTATAACTAAGGTAATGATTTGGAGAGGAAAAGAAAGGTAAAAAATGATGAGAACACATAGAATTCTTTGTAATTATATCATTTATTGCCATAGATTTACATTATACAATGTTTTAATACATATCATGGCAGAAGTTGTTAACAAGGGTCAGCAGTGGTCAGCAGAGGTCAGCAGGGGTCAGCAGGGGTCAGCAGGGGACAGCAGAGGCTTGTAGAGGCAAGGAGGGACCAGGAGGGGCAAGCAGTAACATGTAGTAATCGTCACACGTTGTCGGAAGCATCGGTGGTGGTCAGCAGTGGTCAGCAGGGGACAGCAGAGGCAAGGAGTGACAAGCAGAGACCAGCAGGGGCAAGCAGTGGCAAGTTGTAATCGTTATACGTTGTCGGAAGTATCAGTAGTGGTCAGCAGTGGTCAGCTAGGGCCAGCAGAGGCACGCAGAAGCCCGCAGATGCTGGCAGAGGTTAGCAGAGGCCAGCAGAAGCCAGCAGAGGCTTCGAGAGGCTGGCAGTAGCCAGTAGTAATGGTTATACATTGCCAGATATATCAAAAGTGATATCTGAAATGATATACATATGTACGCTCATACATAGGAATAATAAAAAAGAATTTCTTTTTTTTCAATAATTAAAATATGATGAGGGGGTCTTAAAACGTGTATTGCCGTAACAAAAATTTCACAAAATTTTGTTTTCATCATGGTACTTTGCTTATGTGCGCCTACATAGGTCGGAAAGTAAAAATGCCAGGGCGAATGTTAGTTGTTCAAGAGCTAGAAGGCAAATGTGAGCCTTCCTCTCTCGACTGCCACAAGATGGCCCGAAATTACTTCGGTCAGCTTCGGATAATCGAGAAAGAGGGCATGCGTCTGTTTGCCTTTGTCGACTTTCCGAAACTCCACGAGTTCACGTACGCGTGATCTGCATGTGCGAGCAGGGCACCATCGATGCTTTTCTGGCACCCCTGGTTACCGGTCTGCCGCCTGGTGGCGCTGATAATAACACGCATATAGTAAGGAAACTAGCAAGACAAATTCTTGCGACACGAAAAAGCACCGAGTGCGACATCTATATTAAGCATCGTCCATGTTTAAGGCTGTTTTACGATCTAACCGACGAAGAAGGCAATTTTACATTTTAACTTTGGAACAAGACTGTTTTATAACCTGAAGTTTATTAGCATCGTTTGGCTTTGCACCCGGGAAGAAATATGTCTGCAATGGTAAAATATTGAAAGCAGTCTTTCCTAATACTTTAAAATATAGACTTATCGTACTTATAAAAATTGTACCGCGTTCCTAGAAAGTGTGGGGTTTCTGTTTAAATTTTAAAGATTAAACGGGAATTGGCGGGATATATTAAAAATATTCATAGGAAGCTATTTATTTTTCACTTATAAATCATATATGTATATATAAATAAAAGCTTCGATCTGACTATTTACATACTAGAATAAAAAAATGTCCTCCAGATCTTAAGATATAATAGTAAATTAAAGAACATTTTCCTCAAGGTCTCACCTCATAAATGTATAACGACCAGCGTTAACGGTGACCGAAAAATCTTTAAAACGATCGAGGAAATCAATCCGAGGAAGGAATAATATTCGTTGATCGAGACCTTGCGCGTCACGTCTTCGAACTGGCACAAATACGATATGTACATGTAAGTATACACGTTCATGATTCCGTAGACGGTAACATCTTTTCCAATTCTCGTAAAAGTTTCGTAATGTGCTCTATTAACGTGAAACCGGTCATCGTGACCGGTCGCAACGTCCGGCTATAACACTGTTTATACAGATTGGCGAGAGCTTCGCAACTGAAATATTTCATCGAATTATATTCGATATATTTCGATAATAATGTTAGAAGTTTAGTTTGAAATACATACTATTTTTTGTTGCCACTGCTATTCTTGGTAACGAATAACTTGGTCAAGGATCTCAAGTTGAACTGCAATCTCTGTTCGAGTAATGTCACCAAAGTTTCCTCGTCTTCGATCAACTTTTGTTCGTCAGTCCCTTTTTCGTTTACATTTTCTTTCGCGACTTTACTATCGATTGTACATCGACTCTCTTCCTTTTGTTTCTGAGACTTATTTTTATCGTATAACACGTCCATGATAGGTCTGCATTGCAATATTAAGTCCAGACTATTTTGATATGCTTTTAATTTACCGTTAAATGTCGTTGCGCCTGAAATATAATATTAAATACGAGAACATAACCTAAAAGATCGTACTTAAAGATCGAACTTGCGTTCGATAAAATATACATACAACGAGCTTGGTGTTCTGCCAAAGCAACCCTTTCCATTTGCACTGTCAGAAACTCTGTAATCTGCTCCAAAGCTAACAAGAGCTTCGCAGCTTTTTCGTAATATAACTTGCACAGTTGCAAGCTTGTTTTCCTTTTGATATTATCCATATCAGGTTCGCACTCTCTATATATACGATGATACAAAGAAGCGAGTCGATGTTGAATAATCGCAGCACGGAACTGATAAACAGGTTGTCGTGGCCCGGATGTTTCGGTATCACAGTGCTTAAGAGCCTTTTGAAGAATATCGACGACTTCCCGTTCCAGTTCTTCCTCCGTCTGAAATCATACCCGAAGAAAATGAAAAAAAAAAAAAAAAAATGCCAAACGAATCGATTTTCATTATAGAAATACATACTTTGCAACCGGTAATAGGAAAATCTTGCAACAACGTGGCCATAGTGAACAAGGTGGTGGACAGATCCCATGTAACAGTATCCCAAATTGCAGGATTTGATTTTCTGGTACCCAAGACTTGCAGAGCCTTTTGATAACTCACAAGTGCTTTATTATAAAAATGACGTTCCTGAGTGTTTTGTTTCACGTGCATATGTGCGCAAAGTCGCATAAGTCTTCCAGTGTTTGAATGTAAAAGAGATAAGTTTGCTTCGTCGTGAACGGTTTCGAATGCTTTCACACCCGCCTCTAAATGAGTTAACGATCGCGTGAGCAGTGCTATTACGTCGGACGAGGATTCTGAAGTTTGCCCTGCTGTACTTTCTTGCTGATAACGTGCTGTAAGTAAAAACAATAAGACATTCTTCAAATTTAAATACAGGATTTTTAATAAAATAAGATATGTAGAAAGGTACTAACTTCCAGCTTGATTCATATAAAGAACACCTAGTTCGTTATGAATGTTTCCTAATCGCCTTAGAAGATTATTTTTATCCGTGTCCAACGGTTCTAACGACAACGCTTTTTCGTAACACATGTAAGACGCTACTAACGTAGATTCTAAACTTTCTAAACGTTGTGGCAGTAATTCAGCACCGTCTGAAAAAAAGAAACAAATTTCAATTATTCTCAGCGTTGATTGCGACGTAATATTTTTAAAACCTTACTCATGTCCAAGTCTTCAATTGTACAAATTTCTTCGACGATCTTTCCTTCGATCTCATTTTCTATTTCGTAATCCCTTCTATGTTTCTCTACATTACACCAGTCTTGTACAACCATAAAACAGCTATCTCCCGCGCGACCCAATAAATAGCTAATTGACTTTGTGTTTCTTATGCCGCAATAGATCTCCAATATTTTTTGACACCGTAGTACCGCCAACATATATCTTAACGAAGCTCCGTAATTTCTATTGGCGTATTCATTCTCGGCGAGTACGGCGAAGATCAACGACGCTTTCTCGTACAACAATATCTTCAAATGCGCGTTCCAACTAATGTTATCGCTTTTCTTCGGAGCTTGCCACGTGGGTAAAGTTTCGGCTTTAGTTTTACACAGTAATGCTTTTGCTTCGCTTTCGCTTGGTCCCACTTTCGAAGTAATTTTTTCAGATCTTTTATTCTTCTTTGAATCAAACTTCTTTTTATGGTTGGGACTACTGTTTACGGAACTTTCTTCGGATTCGGTATCTTCCTTTTCGTCTTTCAAAGCGGTGTAAGGCATAGGAATTGCTTGGAAAGGTTTTGCCATGTTCAAATGCGTTTCTTCATATTCTGTCTCCTTCCCATTTTGGTTCCCCTTTATTCGTTCTTCGTCCGAAATATTTTCCGTTGGGAAATACTGCAAACACTGAAGCCCATGACAAACGTGCTCCAAGGCTGCCAAACATCTTTCTTCGACTGATCCCGCAATAGGCGGCGGTTTATATTTTGGCTCTTCGCAATCCGCATGTTCCTTGACTAAAGATTCAAACATTTTTTGTTTTCACCTGTTCACGCGTTAAAATGACAAATTCAATTATAATACATATTTTACTTACTGTGATCCAACGTCAACGATTTTATCGCAGCTTCTTCGATTTTTTCTTCCTCGTCCTTCTCATTTTCATGATTTGTGCTTGATTCGCTTTGTGTATCTTCTTCGTCACTTTGATCGGAAAGTCCGGGACTAGCAGGGTTCGTATCCGACGGTATATACAAATCGGATAACATAAAATGCGCCGACGTAACAATTTGGGGGTATTTTTCTTTAGCTAACAATTGTACGCAATTTTTCAGTAGCATTCTAATAGTGCCTTGTTGCCGGTGATAATCGGAAGAGTACTTCATATTACGAGCTACTCTATACAATAACATAGCAACAGGTACAGTGAATGGATTCTGACCTTTTTCGTCAGATACATCGTGACACAAAGACGTTAAATCGTACAATTTTACAACATCATCGTCCTTGCCTATTAAATATAATGAAAAATTATAAAACGTATCTTTCGAAAGAATAGCACAGGGCGCTTTAATGGTTTTCTATTCAACTATTTTACCTTTAAACAACCAATAAGTGTGCCCAGCCTTTGTTGCATTATTTTTTAAGAAACTTAAAATGTTTTGTGCCACATCTTTTATGACCTTAGGACTGAACTTAGAATGATCTAAATTAGGAAGATCCTCCGTTTTTATTAATTCATATTTTTGCACTATTCCATCCAAATGATAACACATCACAACTTCTGGGACATTGCACATTAAATTATCCAACCAATAATCTATTCCAGTTAAAACATTAATAGGCTTCATCATGTCCCTCAACCTTAGACTTATACACGGATGTGTTTGTCCCCCAAATATTGGCATATCGGTACCAATAAGCATCTGTATATTCTCAAAAGTCCATACAATGTTTCTTGCAAAATTATGATTACAATTTGGATCTGGTAATTTCTCCTCTTGGGAAGGTTCTGGTAAACATGGTTCCAATGTTTTCACAGGTACACGAGGGTTTGTATGTTGTTCTTTATTATCTGCTATTAATATCGAATGATACAAAAACTTGGATACCAAATTTCTCTGTTGCAAAGTATTCCTATTATTTGTTTTGTAAAACAGACGTTTATCTTTGTCACCGAGATTTTGAAAAATGTGTTCGTAAAAAAATTTTCTTAGCCACTCCCAGTCGCTCTCTGCTTGCCTAAGCAAATATTTGTGAATATCAAAATCATCCAATAACAGAGTGTTTTCAACTCTATGAACCATCATCGATATCACTCCATGATTGTAAGGCAACTTTAACAGTTTTTTTATATTTTCTGCATCGGATACAACGTCAACTTCCCCGACACAGTCTGGAAACATGTGTGCCATACGAAAACTGGAAAACCCAGAGGTTTGCGACCACACGCTCTGAAGGCCATAACTTTCTGCAGAACTACTGAGCCAGTTGCTCGGTGGTAAATTTAAATCTGTATTACATTGTAGCTGAGCATAAATTGCTGGTGTCTGAACAACAGAGTATTTTACAACTGCTGTAGATTTTACTAGTTTCCTGGGCGAACTAGGTGCTATGACCAAGGGCATAGACTTTACCTAAATTTAAAATCATTTCATGTAAATAAACTCATTAATTCCGTAGGTACGTTGGTTACGAATATTGGCACAACAAAGTGCAATAATTTTTTCAACTCGTGAGAAAACAAAATTCTCAATAAAGAAATGATATTAAAATACACGGTGAAACGATATTAATCGAACAAGACGTTACATACCGTATCGATCTTAGTATCCAATTCTTCTGACATTTTCAATCACAAATAGAGTCACTCACGTTTCTTAAAACGATTCGCTACATTCTAAAATTTCTAGAAGGAATCAGTGTACAGAAAACTCTAGTGTCGTACAAAGTATAACCATTGACAAGGTGCATATATGATACACTGCTACGTCATCTTGAAAAATTAGAGGTTTTGCAGTGCACTCTGCAGTCAAGAATAGTTATTTTAGAAAACAAATTTAATTCGACCACGGAAATGTTACGTTAACAAATTCCGATGTTATTGATTAAAGTTTAAATCGAAAATTAATTACACATTGTTCGGTATGGTTCTACGACTAAAGTTTTCGTCGATGGGAAAAGTGCAAGGGCAGTAAATCATTGGGAAATTGATCTGGTATGTTTATTTTGTTTCTTTTACAGTAGTAGTTTTTATCCGAAGCATCTTTGATCATATCTATCAACAATGTTATTCGAGATACGTGGGCGAATGGTTACAACGTTTAACCCTACTTTTGGAAATACTTTCAATGTAAGGTTAGAGTTCCCGCCAACCGCCATTTTATTCGCCAGCTAACGGTTTAGAGGGAAGGCTCGTCATTCGATTCGTGAAAATTGACGATATGAGACGCATTGGAGATTTCGTGACTTATTAAGGTGCATACTCTGGTCTATTGACTAATCTAATCACTATTACTATTCTCATTCTCTCTTTGAATATACCTTCGTTTGATATTAATGTAGTTTCGAATATAAATTGAGTCGACGTCGTGTCACTTTTTTTCAGATTTACACCCTATGTTTTTCAGAAATAAATTAATTTTTTGTTATATATTTTAATATTTTCGAATCGATTTGACAGATCGAAGAGACTAATAGTTGAAGGTGTCCCTAACAGCTGTAAATGCGTATACTTCCTCCCTTCGCGCAGAATCTAACGGTGGGGGGTGCAGGATTACGTAATATGTAAGTAAATATTTTACTCTCCCGATACTAATCCATAATCTGCGTAGTTACTTTACAAACGAGTGTTACGAACGAAAACATAGTACATTCGCGGTTCTTGTTTTAATTTATCACGACTGGACGATATTATTTTTTAATGTCGTTCTTAGACGTCATTAAAATCTTAGTGTTGTAATTGTTGCATCGATTCAACACAGTTCCCTATTTTATCCACATTACCCTCTACAGGTAATATGTTCAGTGACATACGAATATATATCTATGCAATTCTAAATAATGAGACAAAGAAAGGGTATTAAACTTCGGAACGATGTTCGAACGTTCCTACGTGTTTCCAGTAATTGTTTTTCCAAAATCTTCAACTTTGATTACAGTCTATCTCTTTGGATAATTCAATTTTGCTAATCAACATGTCCGTTTATTAATTTTTACGCACGAGAAGTTATCTTGTCTCGAAAATGAAATGACAAATATGGAAGTAATGGTAGCTCGTTACACGCTATCCACTAATTGCACTTTCTACGAAGTTAATCACGTGCCCCGGTGCCTTTCGCGTGACCGAAGCCATTGGGCACGATTACTTAGTCCGTAAGATTTATAACGATAGTTTATGTATTTTGTTAAAAAATTTATTATGATTTACAAATGAATTATTACGCGTGCAAGTTTATCGCTGTTCGAATTAACGTTAATCGATTGTTTCTGACGATGTAGTGGGAGGTGTTGCGAGTGGATTCATTATAGATGCGTAAAAGTGAAAAGATGTTAGAGTTTTGAAAACTAGAATGCAGGACTACGTTTACCCATTCTCACCACGTTTTGGAAAGCACGAAGAATAACTGAAAGCCGCTCCCTACATATGGCTGGCGTCACGACATTTATCGTCGTCGAGTGGACATCATACCAAAGATAATAACGGCAAAACGAAGCCCGCGAAGATCATCGATCCGGCCGAAGTCGAAAACGTGGCGTGCTATTCTTACGATCGGGGGACAAAAGTATCGTTGAAAACACAAAAAGATTAGCATCGTCGCGAGCAAAGACGCTCGTTTATCCGCGACGCTGAATGGATTCGGAAACCCCTGAAGTGGTTGACGTCACTGGTACCCCGCGAGTATATAAGATCGCGTATCGCACCCTCGCGATTCAGTCGTCGGTAGTAACATCACGATCGGAGGATACAGCGACGTACTCAACGATGGTGATGAACTTCAGGGTGTATAAGAAATGTTCGCCGAACGGCAAGATCTCTCTGTACTTGGGCAAGCGGGACTACATCGACTATTTATCGGGGATCGAGCCGGTGGACGGTGTGATACTACTGGACCAGAACTACATCGATACCGGTAGGAAAGTATGGGGACAACTGATATGCAGCTTTCGCTACGGCAGAGAGGAGGACGAGGTGATGGGTTTGAATTTCCAAAAGGACCTATACCTGGTTTCGGAGCAACTGAACCCAACCAGCAGAAAAACCGAGAGCACGACCAGGCTGCAGGATCGATTGCTGATGAAACTAGGACCTAACGCGATCCCGTTCACCTTCAAATTCCCTCAGAGTGCTCCGTCCAGTGTGACTCTGCAGCCGGGCGAGGGTGAGACCGGCGAACCTTGCGGCGTGAGCTATTACGTAAAGATCTACTCCGGGGACGCGGAGACCGACATCACCCACAAGAGGAGCACGGTCACGATGGGGATCAGGAAGATCCAGTACACGCCTACGAAACAGGGTCGCCAGCCGTGCACCGTGGTACGAAAGGACTTTCTGCTCAGCCCCGGTGATCTGGAGCTCGAGGTGACCCTGGACAAACAGCTGTACCATCACGGCGAGAGAATAGCCGTGAACGTGTGCGTGAAGAACACCAGCAACAAGGTGGTGAAGAAGATCAAGGCCCTGGTACAGCAGGGTATCGACGTGGTGATCTTCCAGAACGGTCAGTTCAGGACAGTGATCGACGCTGTCGAGACGCAGGACGGCTGCCCGATAAATCCCGGTTCCAACCTGCAGAAGGTTCTCTATCTGAAACCAGAGCTGGAGAACAACAAGCATCGTAGGGGCATCGCTCTGGACGGTAGACTGAAGAGGGAGGAAAGCGAGCTGGCCTCCAGCACGTTGCTCATCTCGCCGGACGTCCGTGACTCTTTCGGCATCGTGGTGTCCTACGCCGTCAAGGTCAAGCTTTATCTCGGAGCACTGGGTGGAGAGCTGTCGGCGGAGCTGCCGTTCATCCTGATGCGCCCGAAGCCCGTGGATCGGATCAAGGAGGTGAACGTGGAGAACATAGAGGTGGAGGACGTCGCGGAGGAGAAGGCGAAGCAGGCCAGCAGCTAAGTGGATGGGGGTCCGGCGCAGGTGACCGCGAGCTGCAACCCGGAGGTTGGCTCGCGTTCAATTTCAACACGGGGGGAACTCGTGTCGCGCGAACGGAGAACACACACGCCAGTATTCTGGGAAACTAACGCGTATTATGTTATTAACCCTTTCGCTGCTAACGGCGACGCTAAACTCTGCGTTACCATAAATTCCAACATCCTGGATAAGAATTTTCGACGACTCGACGGACATTAAATTACGGAGGCCCGTTCGCGCGATTACCGCGACTCCCGATGTCCCCCTATCAGGCGTTTCTTTCGAACGAACTCCATCGTAACGAAAGGGTTAAGGCTCGTCCTGAATAATTCCTGCCTTCGAAACCAGACTCGCTGTAGTTGCGGGCCCCGTGGGAGTGTGGACGTTGTCGATGAATTACGGCGATAATATGCGACGGAAAATAAATTGTTCTCCGTACCTGAAACGCCTTCTTTTAGAGATCCGAGAAATTTAACGGTATCAATTGCTGCTAGAAGATAGGTGAAAGCGAATCTCGTTCAATGCAATTGGAACGCGTCCCTTTCGAGAGTACACTTTGCTAGTTCGCACACTAGCGTCCTCTAATTGTAACATTCTGTAGCATGGATTAACGATGGTGTATCGTCCGAATTAAATATATGTGTACACTGTTACACGCGCGAGTTTTTCTCCCCCTCCTTTCTTCTCCCAAGCTTAATTACATTACGAGGTAAGCGTACGCGTTGCAAAAGTGAGATCGTTACGTGATCGAAACTCCTATGGTTTGATCGACGTTAAAAATTATTTAAAATATACGCGTGCGTGTTTTCTGTACCATTTTCGTCCGCGCGCGAGTGGGCATCTTCGCCAACGCTCGTATCGCGGACTGGTTCTCGTTCGATTACCAAAATTGAACGACATTGGCTAAATAGTACACGACTGCTACGCATCTTGTTTCTCCGCAAAGGATTCTTCAATTGGAACAATTAACGCGGTTGAATCATTGTTTTATTTTGAATCAAAGATACATAACGATCTTGATATTTACAAACACAAGCAACGGTACCTAGCAAGATTAGGTCAATTAAGTAAATAGACCATATAAGTATACACGTTCTTAACGAATATTTAAATTCGATTTTATTCAGAAACGGAACCCCGACGAAAAGTAGTTTCTTTCACAATTTCAAAATTACTTGGTACACCGCGAGATGGAAATTTCTCCGGGAAAGTTCGTCCGGGATCCGGTTTTTTCCGCGCGTCAAAACGAAGCTGATTGCGCGCGAGTTCCCGTTAAGACGTCGGAACAGAGTGTCGCCCCGTGTAATATTTTGTGGTCGCGATTAATCAGCGACGTCAAGCAGATAATGCGCGCGCGCGCGCGCTCGCGTCAACAAATTGCACGCGATTCGTCGTCATTTCAATTTATCTTCCCGTTTCCTGAAACCCTTCGAATCTCCTCGAGCGTGAAAACACACGCTCAACAAGTACCGCGCGCGAGCTCCGAGCGAAAAATTAATATCGCGCTGTTAAAAACCTGGGGGACCGGTAGGCCAAGCGGGAAACACTAGCGGTAGGTGCCTCGCGATCTACAGGGTGTAAGATAAATAATCGAAAGCTTTTCGAGGTAAAATTTAGTTCGTTTCACCCCGCGTTGCTCGAAAGAAGAGATCAAAAGGGACCATGGGGCCGCGAGCGAAGTTTTCTCGTAAAAGGTAGCCAAAGTTTCGGCCAATTGGATTACTCGAAGAAGCTCGTAGGAGAAAAGTACTCCCCCTTCTGTGGGTTCCGGTTATAGTATGCGTTGTTTCTTCTTCCATTTGGCGTTGCGCGTGTGCGCGGAGACAGAACGCTATAGTGGAAGAAGGAAAGCGGGGGAAACGGTACGTTCCCCGGGGGGCACGGCGCGTAATCTGATTGGTCGGTGCTTCGACTATCATTTGCGACCAAATTGCATGCGTACGGTGCACTGTTCTTCCGGAGAGATTTTGGTCTCTCCTCGATGCGGAGAAATTTGAATTTCAAGGTTAAGCGGGAATTTTGCTCCAAATGTTTTCCACGCACCCTGTGTATACGGTAGAGGGGGTACTGAAAGCGTTACGTCGTGGAATATCGATTGGACGATAAAATTGAAATCGTCGTCGATTTCGTGAAAATGTTCTCTCTCTCTCTCCGGAGGACAAGGTCGCGCATTTTCGGCGACGCAACCCCTCCGAGTGGTTGGTGGCCTAGAAAAGTAATACGCCAGGCATGTTCTGCGTCTTGAAACGCGACGACGATCGATCGGACGCCGTAAGAATTATCCGCAATTTCGACGAACGGTGAGCCAAGGAACGGGCCAACGGGGTAGAGGGGGGAGCTAGACAGTCGAAGAGAACAAAGGTGGTGCATAGAAAGTTCGGTTAAACAAACGGGGACACGGGCCTATATTCGCAGGAAGGCCGCAGGTATATCTCCCCCGTGAAAAATGAAAAGAAACGACGCGCGATCCTGCGAAGGGCAGCGCCGTCTCGGCGATGCCACCCTGTGTACGTGTGTGCGTGGTGGGCGTTGGAAGAGTAGCCGTCGGGGGCGGGGGACGAGCAACGAAAAGCTACGGGACGAAGAGAGACGGAGGCGGTTAGGAGCGCAGCAGGAGACACAGAGAGCAAGAGAGAGAGAGAGAGAGAGAGAGAGTGAGTGGTGGAGCGAGGGGGAGGGAGACGACGAGGAGATAAAATTAGAGAGAGAGGTCAGAAAAAGCGGAGCGAGGGAGAAAAGAGGCGAGTAAAAATCGGAGAAGGAAGGAAGAAGGAGGACGAGACAGGGTGGAGTGGCGATGCGATAGAGGGGCCGAAGCGGAGGAGCCGAGCCGAGCGGAGCAGAGAGATCGAAGGAAGAGCGAGCGAGGCCGAGGAGGCCGAGAGGAGCGAGAAGACGGCGAGGAACGGAGTAGGAGCGATAAAGAGGGAAGGCAAGCAGCACTCGGGGTTCGGTTCGGGCGGTCCGCAGGCTCGGCCGGTGCGTCAGTTAGGCTCGAGACACCCGCGAGAACGGATCGTTGGGTGGTTGCCTCCCTTTGGTTCGGTACGTACGTTCGATGCGCCCCCACCATCAGCCCCTGCCCACCTAGTAAGAGTCTCTCTCTCTCGAGGCAGTGTCGCGTAGAGTGTCGTACGAGGCGTATACGAGGCCTGTCCGTCCAGTACCTCGATACACCGGTGTTCTCTTCAATCGACAACCCTCGTGTTTCGATTTGTGCCGCCGGTTACAACTAGTCCAGGAGAGCGAATCAGGAGCACGGAACACCGGAGGAGCCAGGAGGCGGAGGAGGCGGCGAGGATTCTGGCGAGTTTTCACCGGGGGCGAATCCCACAGGAAGAACGAACAAGACAGTGGCGACTACGCTACGTTAGCAGCCGAGTGAGTACTTTGCGGAGCCTTGACTCTGCCCTCTCTTCTCTCGCGATTATTTTTCTCACTTCCCCTCTTCGTTGTTCCTCCCTGTTCCTCTCGGTCGGTCGGTCGGTCGGTCCTCCCCGTCTGGATTTTTCTGGCCGCCGCCGCGGAGCGGATCGGAGCGGAGCGTCTCTCTCTCCGCTGGCACGCAACAGACAGACACCGGCGAAAACTCACCGATACACGACGAGTTTCTCTTCTCTTCTCCCGCGGCAGACGGTGGCATTGATTTCCTCCCCCCGTCCTCTCCGTCTCGCGCGCCGGCCGCGCTCTCGCCCTTCCCTCCCACGCGATACGTACGCACGCACGGTCCTCGTAATTTTCAGTCGGAGCCGCTTCTCGCTTTCTCAGCGACCGTACCCGAACCACCGACCACCGATCTTTTCCTTCTCGTTCGATCGTTCTGCTCGAAAACCACCGGGAACTCCGCGACCCGGGGGAAAATCGCCGCCTCGATGGCGGTCATCGACGGGAACGAACGATCGGGCTCCGAAACCGACCGAGATCGACGCACCGATCGTGGCTAACCGAGGGTAAAACGATCCTCCGGAAAGATGGCTGGCCGTGACGGTTCGTTTCCACGTTCGTATATTTTGGTTACGCGAGCCTCCACCGTTTGTTTATCCTTCCGTCTTTTTTAATCCGAGCTCCGTTGGTCGTCGCGATCATCCGCGACTCACCGGCGGAACGAGTTTCTCCGTCGCGAGGGAACACCGCAATTTCACGCGAAATGCTCGCGACCTTGAACGGCCCAGACCGATGGAACATTCGAGGCTGATCCGGCGTTCACGGGCGTCGAGGCTCGGAAATTTTAAAAGTGCGATCACGAATTCATCTTCGCCTCGAAACCTCCGATCGTATAGAGGAACCAAAGAAACGCATGGGACCCCCATCGAGATATCTTTATTCGCAAATAACCTTTCGTTCATTGTCTCATCCGAAAAACGGAGCACCTCTTCGAACGTTGCTCCGAAAGTGTCGAACCTGTTGTTTGTTTGCACGAGTAACGTACCTACGTCGAGCGCTGGTTGTGTTTACTCTGTTTGGCGCATTCCCCGGTACTCGTTTCGCGTTCGTGTAATTCGCGGCCGGTGTTATCGGCGTACTCGAGTCAGCCGGCGAATATCGAGGAACTTAAAACGTCGACCTCGAACGGCCACGCTTCGACACGGCATTAGTCACACGTACGCGCCGACCGATGAATATTTCAACGTTACAAATGCGCGCGCCGTTGACTGTACAAACATTCCACGGCTCGTTTTCGATGCGAAACGTTTCATTTAGCGATACGCTCGCGCGACGAATAATGTACGCGCGGACCATCGACCCGCATGGATTTCTCTCTTTCCCTCTGTGTGTCAGACCCCGACCAAGTACTTTTCCTGCTTCGCGTCGAGTAATCTCGCTCGTGTCGGCCACTCGGGCCACCAGTCACCTCCAACCATTGTCCCAGTTGCTTTTGCGCGGCTTCTGTTGGTACTTAACAACGTCGTCGGGGCACACGCGACAAGGTATCGCGAAAGAATCCGATGCTTTTCGCTCCCGGACCGCGTTAGCCATTAACGCGACGCGCATTCTTCGGCGTCGTTCCCTTTGTATCGTACAAGGAACACGAGGACACGGAGGAACCGATGAATTCGCGCTACTCGCGAGCTCTTTGTATCGCGAGACCCATTTTCTATCTACCGGTCGATAATTATTGCACATTTGCATTGCAAATGTACGCCAAGAAGCGGGGAGTGGGTCTGCTTCGGCTCGTAAAGCGGTATCGAACTGGCAAATAGTTGTTTCGATCAACGTTAAAAACATTACGTTCCCTTTCGATATTGTATTAGAAACCAGCGTCTTCGACGATTTCACTTGATATGATCGATATATATAAATCGTTTTTATCGTATAATTGTTGCAAGCGCAGATTGTCTTATCTAACAATGACTAAGTGTACTATCTGTACACCGATTGGATTTTCCCCCCGTTTACCGAACAAATTCATTATTATACATCGTCTTTCTACGACAGGTTTCAAGCAACTTTGATCTATCAACCATAGAAGATCGTTTCATAGTTTCCCGATTCGACAGAAGACAGTCCATCCAAAGAAAGAAAGAGAGTGGAGTATCCGAGATATTTAATATTTAAAGTCTAATAAGATGGCGGAGCACTTTTAATCGAGAATCCCCCTTTATTCCAGCGAAGGGAGCGAGAGTCGGAGATCGCAAGGGTGACGATGTTCACG